ACTGGAAATGATGTCATCGCGTTTCTACCATTTTCCGAATGCGCTTCTGAGGTCGACATGAGAAGGGAACCCAGATGGAGCAAGTTGCACAAGACCTTCAAGAGGCGTCATACATTTCTCCAAACTCGCACGGTTTCTGGCCTCGCCGTCAACGACGAACCGCCCCCGTGGAAGCCAGGGCCCGGCAGGTTCAGAACTTCTTGCCACTTGCCGATGCGATCATCAGCAACCAAAATGGCATATACGAAGCCTGATTCGTTTGAGCGCCATGCTCGCTGGAGCCCAAATGGCTATGCGACCGCGACGGCGCCGGCGAAGATGGCGGCGACGACGACGACAAACACGCCAATTTCAGAGGCCCCTTTGTTGTCTGGGGGGTACTCAGTGAGCGTTTTGTCTCGTAAGTATCGTGACGCTGCGCGCCGCAAGCTGTATATTGCCGCACGCCATCGCCAAAGGCGCATAGAACATATCCGCCGCGCTGACCACTCTCTGACCAGCCATCTCTGGGGGGGCACGGGGCTGGGGGAGCTGGGGGCGCCCTCCTAGATGACATTCCCCCTTTGTGTAATTTCAAGCTGTTGAACCTGGGACTTCGTTCTGTTGCGACGATGTAGGTCAGCAGCGACGGCCCTGGGATCAACCCCGAATGTGGCGCGAAACCCCTCGCTGGACAGGGCCGGGAATCCCTCTCGACCCGGCGCTGGGATGGCCGTCTCAAGCTAACGCCACAACAACGACAGCTATGCCAAACAAACATGAGCGCGAAGCCCATTGCACCCCGACGTCAGGACACCGGCATAACATGCATCCCACACCGTTGGCTGAGCCGCCCAAGCGCCTCCACGAGGACGGCGCGTAGGCACGGGGGCAATCTGGTGCGGAAAACGCAATCGCTTGACATATGACAGCTTGACGCGCGACGATAAACGGCGCCGCGTCGACGAACTAGGAAAAATACCCCACAGACCCGCGCCTCGCAGAAACGATCGAAGCAAACCAAGCCCACCACGCAGCGCGCAACAGGGAGACTGCACCACTGCGTGTTCGAGGGGGCGCCACCCCGACAGCACTTGAACGTCGCGCGATATGATGCGTACGGAACGCGGGGATCCTCGAAAATCAAAAGCAGGGATGGCCGCCAGCAACCGACCGTCGGCGCGAAGCCGTTGCGCAGATTCGGAACAAGCGCGCGCGGCGCTGCGAACCCCCCTTTCCAACCCTGACCACGCGGGAGACGACGACAGCAAGAATGCAGAGCAGGGGTGGGGGAGGGGCACAAGGAAAGGACATCGACGTAGGCAAAGGGGATGATAGAGACGACGCGAAGAGGGGGGGGAGCGGGGCATGAGAAATATGAAGGAGGGCCGGGAGGACAGGGAGGAGGAGGAGGAACAGGCATGCCAGACACGCCCTCGCGGGACCGCAGGGCGCGCTGGTCTTCCGCAACGACGGCGCGCGAGGGCGGGGGGGCCAGGGCGGGCGCTCGGCCGCCCAAAGTTTCTCGCGCAACCCTTGCGCGTCGATTCTTGTCCTCCGCAAAAGTGGCTCGCGCCTCCCCCAGGGGGCTTTCGAAGTGGCAATTTGTTCTCCGAGCTTTCTTCGTCCGCTTACGTGTGCTTTTTCGTCAAAAGGAGGCCGGACTGGTTCCGCCTCCGCGGCCTTGCCCCGAAGACCGGGGGCAGCATCGTTCAAGGGGGGCACTACTAGGCAAGGCTACCGCGGCGGTGCCTGCAACAAGCATGCACGGATATGTTTGGAGCCCTCTGGAACCCGCGCCCGCCCCCGAATTATTACCCGCCCCTTGGCGGCGCCCTGTCCTGCGGAGGCCCGAAAGCCCCGGCGCCGCTGGCCGGGCCGCATCCCATGCCGATGCCCGCCGCCCGGTGGCAACGGGTCGGGGCGCCCCCATGCCCCGTGCCGTTTGACGGCTTACACGTTCCCAACTTCTGGCCGCCATACACGGAGACCCCTGGCCGACGGGAGACGCTGCCCGAAGGCGGAGAAACAAGCAGAAGAATCACCCCCCGCTTCGACACCAGCTACCGCGCCAAGTTCCTACGCCCACAGCCCGTTCAACGCTCCCCCTGATCGCGCCCGCGCAGCCCAGCGAGCGCGCCTCCACGCAGCACAGAGGCACAGATTCATCTGGCATTGCCTTGGCAGTGCAGCGAGTTCCCGCGAAACGCGGTTCTAACTTCGCGGCTGCAGGTCCTGGCGGACCTAGCGGCAGCGCTCCGCCTCCAGGCGCTACGAATCGGGGCGGCATTGCACGGACTGGAGCGCATGCTGAACCGAGCTAGCGACGCTGATGGCAACTAAAATCAGGCGATCGCCCGCGCCACTCGGAATCGCGAGCGAACTACCGTCTGACAATGGCACGCGCGCGCCGATAACATGCAATCGCACCTGCGCTGTGGGGGGCACTCGTTTGGCGCGGCGTGCGCGACGTAGCTGAGCAAGCAATGTCTGTCAGTTTGTGCGAGCCGCGCCCAACAAACCGCGTGATGGCTCAGTTCAAAATGTCCCAATCGCTGCGTGCACAACGACCCCCAGCGCGATGGCCGACGCGCTGGTCGCGCTCATCGAGAGAGCGGGGGAACCAGGAAAGCAAATCTTGGATCTGATGGGTACCCCAAAAAAGTAAGGACCACAGCTCCCCCAGTTACCGCTGGTCTGACTCTGTCTCGAGCACACTAAGCGTGTGAGGATACCTGCACATCACGCAGGCGTTCGTTATCATTCCCACACCAAGTATGCTGCGTACATGCTTCGTGCAAAACCACATTACAACAAACGTACATATAGATTTGGCTAGGTATTCGCTAATTAACGCGTTGTTGTTGTAATGTTGGATAACTGCAATGTAAATAAAAAACACAAACTGCTGCTTCACTAGGGCTCTAGAAAATTGATCATCTTAGGCTACGGGGAAAACCCCCCGCTTCGGACTGTCACCAAGGCCCGTCCTCGTTGGGGCGCTGGCTGGCGGCGGCGCAAGCCATTGCGCGCCCTCGGATAATGCGCGCCCACCCCCGTCGCGAGGCTGCGGCCTCAAGGACGCAACCTGGCGGCAAGGCCGGCGGTCTTGCGCGCCCACTTCCCCCTGGTCCTCGCACCTCGTTTCCTGTGGGCACTGTTTGGCGGCGACGCCACGTTGCGTGCATCTGCCGAGCATGCGCGCCTGCCCACGTCGCGAGACACATGCCGCAAGGACGTTGCCAGGCGGCATGGCCAGCGGCCCTGCGCGCCCTCGCGTCGGACAGTTACCAATGTCCGTCCTCCTTGAAACGCTGGCCGGCGGCAGTGCGAGCCATCGTTCGCCCGCAGACTATGCGCGCGAACCCCCGTCGCGAGGCTGTTGCCTCAAAGACCGGCGGCATGGCCGCCGGTCCTGCGCAATTGCAACGTGGCGCCGACTACCAAGGTTACGAGCCGTTTCCACTCGAGTCGTCCGAGGTTTTCTTTAACCTCCGGGACATAGCCGGCAGCAAGGCCGGCGGCCCTGCACGTCCACTCCACATACGAGGCCAGCGCCTGTTGGACACGGACTGGCGGAATTGCCAAGGACCTGGTCTTCATACGCTTCGTTGGGAATTATGTTACGATGGGCCTGGGATAATATAGTTGACCCTCCCTTTCCTCTGCGTGTGAGCTCAAGCGCGTCGCTGGGGCAGCATTTTGCCGGGCGTGTCGATGGGGCGGAATGCCTGGCGTGTCGCTGGGGCGGCGTATTCCTAACGAATAGCTTCATTATCCCCAGGGGTTCAATATCAGGTGCACAGCACGGCGGCAATGCCAGCGGTCCTGCGCGCGGCAAGCGCCTTCTGGGCACAGCCTGGAGGCTGGTGTTTTCGTGCACCTTCGACCACTAGGAGGGTCTGCCCTCCGGGACACAGCCTGGCGGCAATGCCGGCGGTCCCGCTCACCGACCCCACCCACGAGGCATGCATCTCTTGGACACAGACTGTTGTTTTCATTCGATCCGTCGGAGGTTTACCCTCCGGGACACAGCCCAGCGACAATGCCGGCAGTCCTGCACACTTACCCCACTCATGAGACATGCATCTCCTGGACACAGCACGTTGTGCCCATTCGATTCGTCGGAGGTTTGAACCTCTGGACACACTTTGTGACGAGAACTTGTTCCCACTCCACGCGGGTGCTGGAATACGTTCGCGTGGATTTCAAGGGTGAGAGATGCCAAGTGCCCAATCCGATTCACAAGAGTTATGCCTACCCTGAAGGGCATCAACACTACACTGCAATCCTCCTCTTCCTTCTCCTCCTCCTCCTCCTCCTCCTCCTCCGTTCCTTGCGCCGTTTCCTGCTGCCCTCCCCGTCCCCTACCCCATCGCGCCGCCGACCGCATCTTCCCGCCCACGCCCCACGCGACAGCTTCAACCGCTGGGGTCCCCAGGAAGGGCCCTGGGAGGCCAGAACCGGCAAACAAAAAGACTCTAGGCCTCTTTCCCTCAGGTAGTTTTCTTCCATGGTGACCCACATGCTCCCATCAAATGCAAGCCCAGATCCTCCCCTGTGTGCGCGTCCACCAGAATATCGTTGGGAATCGAACAGTGGCGACGAGGAGCCGAGCAGAGACCCCAACAAAAAACAGGAGAAACGATTGGGACTTGTTGCCGTTTTTCGCCCCCATGTTTTCCATATGAATTTCGATCGTCCTGAAGAGAAGCATCAAAAAACCCGGACCTCGATCTTCACGGCCCTTTCATATTGCCCCCTCTCGTTCCCGCCCTCGCCGTCGTCCTCTCACCACCGTCCCCAGCCAGCACAAAATGCCGCACCGCCCGTTGCGATCGGCCGCGCGATCGCGCACGCACCTGGGCTCGAGCGGAACTATACGAGTGCGAAGCCTCCAAATCGAGAAGATCGGGCCACCGAGGATCGAGAGTTCCGATTGCCAGCGGCCGTTCTTGGGCCCCGGCCGCCGCTGGCTGTCCCCTCTCGCCCTCCCGCGGCCACACCCCTCCGCATGCCGCCTCGGACAGCAGCGGCCCACTCATTTTGCGGAACCTGCGCCCACTGGGGAGGCGGGGCCGATTCAGAGGCCTAGGCGGCGGGGGGATGCGCCGAGGGCACCCGCACACCGCCATCGTGCCTGACCAGGGCCATCCTGAGCCCTGGCATGGCGTGCCTGCACCCGCCCTGGCCGAGGCCATGCAGGCGTGCGCGCGCACACAGAACATGCATTGTATACACACACCCACACACAAGCACGCACGCACGCACGCAGGCACGCACGCACGCATGCATGCACGAACACACACACACACACACACAACCACACACACACACACACACACACACACGCACGCACGCACGCACGCACGAACGCACGCACGCACGCACGCACGCACGCACGCACACACACACACACACATACACACACACACCATTTTTCCGTCGGCGGCGAAGCAGAGTTGGCTGCGCCAGCGCGAGAGCTAAACGGGGGTACCGGGGAGCGCGTTGGCCAGCGCGCAAGAGTGGGGAAATAACAGACAGGGCGACCTTGGAGAGGGGAAAGAGGCTACTCAGCCGCGGAAGAATTCTCACCTGAGAACGCTGGCGCGGTTGGACCCGTCAGCGGGATCCACGGCAGCTGCCGGGCCGCGGCGCCGGGGCGCCCGCGGGCGATGACGGGGTCCAGAGCGAGGAAATCAAGTATTGCAGCGACGCTGCCGAAGAACTATAAGCGAGGTGGCTGGACGACGGGAAGAGAGCCGCGTGGCCGCCCAGATGGGTGGCAAGTGACAAGGCGCGATAAGTTCGCGAGCAGTGCGGGTTCACACTGCACCCAGCAAAACGCTGGGCCCGCGAAGGGGCGCGGGCGTCAAGACCAAGCCCACGTGCCCGGCCACGCGGGGAGGCCGCGAGCTGCGGCAGCGTACGGGGGGCCGGGGCGTCGGTGCCAGGCAGCCCGGCGCCAGCGCTGCAGCTGCCCGGGTGGCCCTTCGGACGCCACGCGCTGTCGGGGTGGACGGCGCATGGCTGGTCTAAGGGCACCTAACCGCCGCGGTTTCCCGCGTCAGAACTGTGGCCGAAAGCCGTCGGGGGCCACGCGATGTCGGGGCGGGCCGCGCATGGCCGGTCGATTGGGCACCGCGTTGATGCAATTTCCTGCGCTTGTGGGCATCGCCTAGGGTGGCCAGGGGCGGCGCGCATCGCCCAGGGGGGGCCGCAACAGGGTAGCACGCATCGCCCAGGGGCGGCGGCGCATGGCGGAGGAAGAAGCGGAGGAAGCGCCCAGACACGCGATGTCCTGATTTTTCCCATACAGGGCCCCTAGAAGCCCCGACCCTTTCTCCGGGGCCCTCTTTTCATCTTGAATCACTTTTAGACTGCCTCGAGGCCCGGCGAGGGCCCCCAGAGGCCGAAAATAGCGAAACACCTGCCGTCCTGATTTTTTACGACGCCAACATGTCTGGGGAGGCGTCGCGCTGGCTGAGGTCGCGGGCGCCACCGCCATGCAGAACGCAGAATCTGTGCCAGGCCGCTCCAGTTTCACCACCTCTCTGCGGCGCCCTCCTGACCCGGGCCACCAGGGCCCCCTTCAAGCTGAGGAAGTCGGGCAGGGCGCGTGCTGGGACAGCCTCACGGCGCACCCGCCCCTTGCCAAACTTCCTGCAATCTGAAGTGAACGAATCCCATGGGACGCGCGCGTCCGGCAATGTGGCCAAGGAACTCGCGCCGCGCAGGCAGAGGCGTTCCCCCTCGCGGGCCGGCGGCGGAGCAGCCCGCGGTGCCGGAGCCGCTGGCGGCCGTCGTCGCGGCGGGCTCTCGCGCGGACGCTCGTCGGCAATGACCCGGTCGCCGGCTGGCGCCACTGACCCGGCGGACTGCAAGGGCGGGCGCCAGGCGGCGCCCCAGCCGGCGGGCAGGGGGCGGGCAGGGGGCGGGCAGGGGCGCCGGAGGGGGCGGCGGGCCGGGCGCGGGGGGGGGCCTCGGGGAAGGCGCCGGGGAGGGAGCCACGAGAGACGTCGTCGCGAGAGGCGTTGGTCGGGGCGCCGTCAGGAGAAGAGCTGGTAGGACTGCAGGGCTGGGCGACGACAATGGCGTCGGATGGGGCGCTTGGCCCAGGCGCGCCGGCGCCGGCGCCCCCGTCGTCGGCGCGATTTGCCCAGCAGCCCCCGCGAAGCCGATCGTGGTTGCAGCGCCGGTATTCTCGCGACTGCTAACAGTCGCGCCGTTTGGGCCCAGGGTGCCGCGCAAGGTCGGGCAGCTGAGGTTGGTCACATTTTTCGCGACGTTGCGGCTGGAGCGCGTCCTGCTGCTCGCGGTCGCGTGGCGGGGGCCCGCCATCCAGCTCCCGACGAAGCCGCCGGCGTCTGACCTGCTGCTCGCGGCCCCTCGCCCGGGCACCGCCACCCAGCTGCAGCGATGAGAAGTGCTCGGGCGAGCAGCGGTCGAAGGACCCGCGCCTTCCAGGTCGCCCCGAGAAGCCGGCCGCCGCGGCGGCGAGGACTCTCCAGGAAGCGCAGAAGCGCCACGACCCCCCATTCCCCCGCCGGCCCAGGATCTCCCACCCCCCAGAGAATCCCCGCCCCCCGGGGCGCTCAGGCGCCCGCCGCCGCCGCCCCCCACACGGACTAAGTTCGATGCTGAGCGCGGCGGCGTCTCGCGCAAGAACTTCGCCGGTTCCTCGGACACCCCCGGCGCCCCCCCGGGCGAGGGCCGCCGTGGTCGAGGGGGGCCGTGCGAACCAAGTGGGGGATGGCCATCACCGTCGCCGCCGCAGTCGCCCCGGCCCAGGGCCGTCGCGAGGCCGCCTTCTGCAGGGGCGCCGCCTCCGCCCCTCGGCGGACGGTGGCCGCCCGAACCGCCGCCAGGTGAAGGAGGGCCGACCAGTCGACTGAGCGCCGCTCTGTCCGCCATCCTGGCCACCTCCTCCCAAGGCGGCGGTGCCTCGCCGACCCGCAGGCCCAGCACCTGGGCTACCGGGCGCAACTGCAGCCCGAGACTCGCCAGCCAGGCAGCGGCGGCCGCGCGAGCCATCGGGGCCCCTTGCCAGGGGGCCTCTGGACAGACGGCCGCATCATGGAGGATCGCGTGGACCTGGCCGTACGCGCCCAGCACTCGAACCCAGGAGCCACGGGGCGCGTCGGCGGGAACGTCTGCGGTCGAGCCGAGGGGGTCGGTCGTTCCTGAAGCACTGCCCCGCTGCCAATTGCCTCACGACGATTGGGCATATGGTCGCTGCTGCCGCCGCCTTCACCTGTGAGCCCGGGGTCGCGAGGCGTCGCTGAGTTCCCCCGTCCCTCCAGCGGCGTCAGGTCTGGGTCCGAGACCTCCGCCGCGCCGCTCAATCGCGCCGCTCACGGTTGCGCCGCCGGGCACCGCATTCTGGCCGTGGCGACGAGGGGTCTCCAGGGCGCGCAGCGGCGCCAGGACCTCCCCTTCCTCCATTCCCGCATTCCCGGACCCCTCGAGTCCAGCCGCGGCGACGAGGGCTCACCAGGTCCGGGCCCAAGGCGCGTTCCTTCGTCCAGGTCAGCCGCAGCAGCTCCAGCCAATCCATCTTCAGGATGGTACTCACTGCACTCCCCACCCCCTCCCCCCCGTCACGCCTCGCTGGGTCGCGGCACTAATCGTGACAGAACCTGCGAAATAATGCCGCGATCTCCCCGCAACCAGCAGCGAAACTCGGGGGGGGAAACGCGGCGGAGCGGGGAGGGCAGGCCGGGGCTCGGCGGCCGCTGCGCCCCAGGACAGTCCGTCGCCCAAAAAGCACGCACTGCCCTCCGCACCCTCATCTCCCCCAGGCACGCCTCGCTGGGCTGCGCCACTAACCGCGGCGAGAACCTGCGAAGTAGCGCAGCGATCCCCCCCAAAAAAAAAACGGCAGCAAACCCGGGGTGGGGAACGCGGTGGCGCAAAGAGGACAGGCTGGGGTTCGGTGGCCGCCACGCCTCCGGCCAGTCCGTCGTCCGGAAGGTCCGCACTGCCCTCCTCACCCACATCCCCTCCTGTCACGCTTCGCTGGGTTGCGCCACGAATCGCGGCGAGAACCCGTGAAACAACGTCGCAATTTCCCTGCAACCAGCCGCAAACCCGGGCTGGGCAACGCGGTGGCACAGGGAGGGCGGGCTGGGGTTGTCCAGGACGAGCAGCGGTCGCGCAGTCGATTTCCCTTCTGACGCGTCGGAGATCTGGCCGCTGCGACGAAGGATCTCCAGGACGCACAGCGGTGCCAATATCACCCCTTCATCCGTCCACCCGGGATTCTCCGACTCCCCGAAAGCCCAGCCGTGGCGACGAGGGTAGTCCAGGTGCAGCCCCCACCCCCCCGCCCGTCGTCCCCTCGACCTCCACCTCCACCACCGCGACGTCGTTCATCGTGTCATCGACCTCCTCCTTGCCCCCCGTCTTCACCTCCTCCTGGGCCTCCGCCTTGGGGCCAGGCAGCCAGGCGTCGGCTGCCCCGTGGTACTAACGGCCTCCAGACCAGCAGCAAACTCGGCCTCGGCCGCGCGCGCGACCGTCAACTCGGCCTGCATCAGCGCAGGAGAATCCTGATCCACTACGTCCAACTCCATGATACCCAACTTGCCCTCGTTGCCAGTCGGCGCCAGCATCCCTGGACGCACTGGTGTCTTACCACCGACTCCTCGAGAATACTTGTTCTTGCCTTTCACCCCGACAACGCGGTAGCCCAGATCACGCAGTCGGCCCGCCAGCCGCTTGTAGGCCCGAGGTCCGATGAGCGCCTGCCTTGCCGCGGCGTCCACCACGAAATCTCTAGGATCCGTGGTCAGCATCGTCAGCGCCGCGTTCTCGACTGCTCGCGCCGTGTTCAGCGCCCGGTAGACCCTCTCCCGCGCGTCCTGGACGGGACGTCCGGCCGCCGTAGACAGCGATGGAATGTCCACCGCGCCCAGCAGAACGAAGCCCGACACAGGAGGACTTCCTTCGGAGGATGCCGAAGCTCCGGCTCTTTCGGGACACTCTCGGCCCCAGTGCCCCTTCTTGTGACGCGCGTGGCACCTTGTCACCTTCATCAACGGATCGACCGACAT